GCGGTGTCGCGCACAGCCCCGCGGCCCCAGCGCTCGCTCCGGGCCCGGAGCGGGGCGAGGGCGCCGGGCTCGGCCGGGGGGAGCGCTCGGCCCGGGGCACGGCTCGGCCCGGGGCACGGCTCGGCCCGGGGGAGGGCTCGGGCGGCCCCCGCGGGCCGGAGCGGCCCCGGCCGGGCCCAGCCGCGCTCCGGGAGCCGCGGGGCGGCGGCGGCGGTGCGGGGCTCACCTTGGGCAGCTCGCGGAGCTGGTTGGCGTCCAGCAGCAGCTCTTCGAGCGAGCGGCTGTAGCGGTAGATCTCCTCGGGCACGGCCTGCAGCGAGCAGTGCCGCCGGTCCAGCGCCTCCACGTGCCGGTTGCAGCGCCAGAGCGGCGGCATGCAGCGCAGCATCGCGCCGGGCCGCGCCGGCCGGGATCGGCCGGGCCGCGACGGGGCAGGACGGGCCGGGCCTGCGGGAGCGCCCGGATGTGCGGGGGCCGGGCCGGGCTGCGCCGAGCGGCTCCCGCTGCGGCAGCGCCCCCGCCCCGCTCCCTCCGCCCTGGCCTGGAGCCGCTCCCGGGGCCGCTCCCGGCCTGCGCCCGGGGCCGCGCCGCCCTCCGCGGGTGTGCCTGGGAAACGGAGTTCCTGGGAAACAAACGGAGTTCCTGGGAAATGGAGTTCCTGGGAAACAAACGGAGTTCCTGGGAAATGGAGTTCCTGGGAAATGGAGTCCGCTCCGCCCCGCACGGCACCGCCCCGGCAGCGCCTGCGGGGGAGCGGCGGAGCGGGGAAATGAGCTCTGCCGCAGGAGAAACCACGGGCAGCCGCCTCCGTCCCTTCTCCCGGCACAGGGCACAACAGGTGCGTTACAGCTCACGTGTGTCCGTTCTGGGACACAGCTACTTAGTGACAGAAGCCAAAATGCGAAGGGAATCGTTGCCTTTGAGCTGTCCCAGGACACCGCAGTCCTCCCTGTTCTGTCCCCTACTGCTTTCACAGTTGCCTGGTTGCTTTGTCACTCTTTATCTTTCCTGTCCAGTTTCTCCTCATTGAACTTTATCCCTGCTCTCTTATCCCAGCGCTGTCACATGGCCCTTAGACCTATCTCCTCTCCAGATGAAATTCTCTGTTGCAGCTCCTTTTGCCTTGCACACAGCTCTCCACCAGCTCCTGCTGTGGTTGTTTACCTCATTTCTCTCTCATTTATCTTTCAGAGATCAGATCCTCCTTCCCCTGTGAAGGAAGGTCTGTGACAGCTCTTCACACCCACACCTGTGTGACACTGAGCAGAGCCCAGTGCCCCAGGAATAGCCTGGGACACCTGGGACGCCAGCCCAGGCCAGGAAAGATTCCTGGGACTGCATTCCTCAGACTGCAGAGTCAGAAATAATCCTGCAATGAACAGAAAGTGACCAACAATGGAATGACACCAGATCTTGCGGCCCTGGTGAGACACTGGTGAGGGACAGGTCCGAGTGCGGTAGGAGGAGGTGAACATTCTCCTTTCAGTTTCGGCATTCACAACAGCCAGAGGCTGGGAAACTGGGAAGGAAGGAAAGAAGGAATTTATGAAGTCACGGAATCACAGAACGGTTTGGGTGGGACGAGACCTTAAAGCCCATACAATTTCATGTCCTTGCCATGGGCAGGGACACCTTGCACTAGCCCAGGTTGCTCCAAGCCCCATCCAACCTGGCCTTGGACACTTCCAGGGATGGGGCAGCCACGGCTGCTCTGGGCAACCTGTGCCAGGACCTCCCCACCCTCACAGGGAAGGATTTCTTCCCAATATCCCATCCCTGTCCTCTGGCAGCGGGAAGCCATTCCCCCTTGTCCTGGCACTCCATTTTTAAATATTTGGGTTTATTGAGCTTTCATTTGCCTCAGTTGCAAGTGTCTGTAACAGAGATATCCTGCTGTGTCTGTCACAGCAATCCTGTAATAAAGCAATCCTGCCACATGGAACATGGACCTGTGATTTCATACTAATTATTATTTCTGGGGCAGTACCTGGGGTGATGCATCACCTGGTGTTGTGCCCTGTCAGAAATCATCTAGGGAGTCAGGAAATACAGGTGTGGTGGCAGGTGGTGTGAGAGAGACAATGAATTGGACATCAGGAATTAGAAAGGTGAAATTTAAATTTTCAAGCCAGCTCTAAAGCATTTGTACAAGTGTAGGACTTGCAAGGGTAGGATGGTCCCAGCTCTGTTTCCTATAAATGCAGAGGCAGTACAATGGAGCAAACCTGTGATGCTTTGAGGATGGTTCACTGATCTACCTAAGCCTCAGCAGAAGTGCAAGATCACGGCAGGGACAAAGACAAGAATTGCAGTTCTGCAAAAGGCTCAGGGGTTTGACACAATATGTGTCTCGAGGGGGACCATGCCCAGCCGCTCTCCATTGTCCATCATCTGTCCTGGCTGCCCAGAGAGGTCCCGGATGACTGGAGGTGCCAATGTGATGCCCATCCACAAGCACGGGCAGAAGGAGGATCCAGGGAACTCCAGGCCTGCCTGCCTGACCTCGCTGGGTGGGAACAGATCGTGCTCAGTGTCACTGCACAGCACGTGCAGAACAACCGGAGCATCAGGCCCAGCCAGGCCGGGGTTGTGACAGACAGGTCCTGCCTGACCGACCTGATCTCCCTCTGTGACAGTGTCACCTCCTCAGTGCCTGAGGGAAAGGCTGTGATGGGTCTGCCTGGACTCAAGTGAAGCTTTGACACTGTTTCCCACAACATTCTCCTGGAGAACCTGGCTGCTCCTGGACAAGGGCACTGCTCGCTGGCTCACGGCTGGGCCCAGGGAGTGGTGGGGAATGGGCCACGTCCAGCTGGGGCTGGGCACCACTGGGATTCCCTGGGCTCAGTACTGGGGCCAGTCCTGTTTCGTGTCTATATCCACGCTCTGGACAAGGGGAGCGAGAGCACCTCAGCCCGTTCTCAGGGGACACCAGGCTGGGCGGGAACATGGATCTTCTGGAGGGCAGGAACCTCTGCAGAGGGCTCTGGAAAGGCTGGATGACCCTTCCCCAGCACTGTTGCCCTTCCCTGCACATATTCCAGCCCCTCAATGTCCTTCTTAGTTGTGATGGCAGAACTGACCCAGGGTTTGATTAAACAGTGCCCAGCACAGGCCTGGCCAGGGCCTGTGGCCACGCTCTGGCTGATAGCAGCCAGGTGCCATTGGCCTCTTTCCCACCTGGGCTCCTCTTCAGCCAGTGTCACCAGCACCCCCAGCTCCTCTTCCAGCTTTCCAGCTGCTCTGCCCTAAGCCCAGGTCACTGCAGGGGGCTGTGGTGACACTTGGGCAGGACCCAGATCCCGGCCTCATTGAACCTCATCCCGTAGGCCTCGGCCCATCAATCTGGCCTGGTCCTGTTTAGACTCTGCAGAGTGTAAACTCAAGTTAATCAATAACTGTGGAGAGCTTCAAGGGATTCTGCTGCTGAGCTGAGCCTGGGGACACCGTGAGCTCCCGGGGGAGCCTCAGGTCCTGCCCCAGCCCCTCCTGGGCTCTGTCCCCTCCGTCTCTCCCTCCTGGGCCCTGCAGCGGGACCTTTGCTCGCCGTGCTGTGTTGGGTGTGACTGAGCCGGATCTCCTGTTCCCCGGCAGCCCTCCCAGCGCCGGGGTCACAGCGGGACCTGGGCAGGTGTCAGTGACACCCCTGAGCTCTGGTGCTGCCCAGCAGGGCTGGCACCACACCAGCACCGGCTCCCCAGGACAGCTGACCCCAGGGATATCCCAAGCCACATCACCTTGGCTCAGATATAAAAGCTCAGAAAAGGAGGAGGAAGGGGGGAAATTTGTTATTTACAATGTTTGCCTTCTGAAGAAATGGCTCCAAGTGCTGGAGTCCTGCTTTCTGGGAAGTGGCCGGACTTCACCTGCTCATGGGAAGTAGAGAATAAAATCTCATCTTTTTCCCTTTGCTTATGGAACCTTTTGTTTTTCCTTGTTTTTGTTGAATTATTTCAACCCTCCGCACCTGGGTGGGGGCTGAGAGGATTTATCAGGGGGTTCCTGCCTGTCCCTGGGGTTGGAGAGGATGGTGGCTTCTTCAGCTCCTCTGGGGGGACAGTGAAATTGCCCGGGAGCAGGGAGAGTGTCTGGATTAAAGCCCAGCCATCCCAGCTATAAAAAGCTGGAGGAACCCCCTGTCTCCTGTCCAGGAGCACAGGGAGGGACTGAGAGCAGCACCCAGAGCCCACACCCACGGCAGGGCACAGGCAACGCTTTGGGTCGGGGTGCCGGGAGCGACGCCGCAGAGCTGCGGGGACAGGGACAGGGTTCTGCACGGGGGGGACAGCGGCCCCTGGGACCAGGCCGGGGTCAGGGCAGTGCTGGGACACGGCCGGGGGCTCCTGGCCGCAGATGGCCCCTCTCCCCATTCCCACCTCCTCAGCCCCTCACAGAGGAACAGGCCACATCCCCCCAGAGTCCCTGCGGTGCCCGGGGGGTCCCTGGGGAGTCTGGTCACCATGGAGCTCCTGTCACCGCTGCTGGTGCTGCTGGCTGGGAGCCTGGCCACCAGCATCCACCTGCACCGGTGGGAACGTGGCGGTACCACCAAGGAGATTGCACTGACCATGGCCCCCAACTCCTTCGATGACCAGTACCTGCGCTGCCATTTCAAAATGCTGAGGGCGCTGCCGGCGCTCAACCGCACCGAGTTCGTTCCCTACGGCGACTACGCCGAGGCCTGGAACAGGGCCGTGGCCACATGGGCCAGCCGGGCCCACGCGGAGTCCCCGCTGCAGCCGGAGCAGGCCATCGCTCTCCTGGCCTACACCATGGAGGAGGGCCTGTACCTGGAGTTCAACGAGGCCGTGCGCACGGCCGGGCGCTCCCGACGGGAGTACCTGGACACCTTCCACTTCAAGGTGCTGCATTTCCTGCTGACCGAGGCCCTGAGCGACCTGCGGGGTGCCCGGAGCCACCCCCGCTGCCTGCACGTGTACCGGGGCGTCGACGGCATCCGCTTCGCCACCGGGCTCGGCCACATCGTCCGCTTCGGCCAGTTCGCCTCCACCTCCCTGCTGCAAAACGTCAGCGAGTCCTACGGCATCACAACCACCTTCGAGGTGGACACCTGCCACGGTGCCGACATCCGCAACTTCTCCAACTACCCCGAGGAGCAGGAGGTCCTCATCCCACCCTTTGAGACCTTCAAGGTCACCAATATCACCCACCAAGGGGACGACATCTACATCCAGCTCCGCTCCCACGGCGTGCACAGCAAATACAACTGTGCCTTGTTCCAAGGTGATGTCCTGGGCTGGGGACGCCTGCAGCTGGGCCGGGGGACAGGAGGCTTGGTGATGGGGCAGCTGGTGGGGGTGGCAGGGCATGGCACAGCTCTGGCTGCTGCCCTGGGATGGCACATCATGGCATGGGATGGGATGGGATGGTGCTGTCCTGATGCTGGGCTTGTTTTCTGGAGGCAGCACTGTTTCACACCCCAAAGTGAGGGATTTCTATTTTTCATTCTACTTTGCAGCAAGTAGGGAGCTCCCCCTGACCCCCTTCTCTGGCCTCCCCAGGCAGAAGCGTCCCCAGAGACACCCCAGGCCTCACTGGACTCCTCCTGGCAGCACTGGCAGCTGTCACTGGCACCCCCTGAGCCACAAGACCACCGTGCCTGGTGAAGACAAGGCGTCAGGGATGGAACCACTGGTGTCACCAGAACTGGCTGAGAACACAGAGAGGCCCCTGCAGGCTGGACACTGGACAAGCCCTGTGGCCACCCTCCCTGAGCCATGGCTGGGGTGTCAGGGTACAGCTTCATGGCGTGGGGGGGGAGAAGCACAGTGGGGATTTTCTTCTCATTTTGGTTTCTTTTCTCCCTTCCCATACCATTCTTTTGAATTATTAAACTGTTTGTTACTTAATTCATGAATTTCCTTTTCATTTTTCTCCACCGGATCCTGCTGTGGTAACTTTGGACACGGGCCTGGAGTGACAGGACAAGGGGGAACGGCTTCCCACTGCCAGAGGACAGGGTTAGACGGGATACTGGGAAGGAATCTTTCCCTGTGAGGGTGGGGAGACCTGGCACAGGTTGCCCAGAGAAGCTGTGGCTGCCCCGTCCCTGGATGTGTTCAGGGCCAGATTGGACAGGGCTTGGAGCAGCCTGGGATTGTGGAAGGTGTCCCTGCCCGTGGCACAGAGTAGAGCGAGATAAGCTTTAAAAATCCTCCAAGCCACCACCATTCCAGGATCCCATGATAATATGGAATGAGAATAAGAAATCCATTTCAGCTTTTTTTGCCATATTTAGTCTGCTTCTTCCATCCTTTTTTTTTCTCTACCATTCTTAGCTTTGTTTCCCAGTTTTCCACCTCATGTTACAACAAAACTCCTCGATTTCTTGATTTTTGCCACCATCTTTATGAAAGTAGAAACAGCTTCTTTTTATGTCAACATCCATCTTTCCACACAGTTCCCAAGGTTTTCAAGAAACTAAAATAATCATGAACTGTTCCAGATACATAAATTCCATAAAGCCTGCTAAATTCAACCCAGCATGCTGCCCTGGGAGCAGCCAGAAACTGAAGGTTTGGGAAGCAGAGCCAGCTTCAGGAGCTGCAGAGGCTGGATCTGAGCCTGGATCTGAGCCTGGATCTGAGCCTGGATCTGAGCCTGGATCTGAGCCTGGATCTGAGCCTGGATCCCCCTGCAGAGGGATCTGGCCAGGCTGGCTTGGTGGGATGGGATCCGTGGGCAGAGGTCAGTGGTGTGAGGGTCAGTGTGACCGAGTGCTGCGTCCTGCCCCGGGGTCACAACCCCAGGGATGGCTCCGGGCTGGGGACAGTGTCAGGAAAGCCGGGAAAGGATCTGGGGGGGCTGGTGACAGTTTCCCTGGGGATGGGATCCTCCCGCAGAGCTTCCCTGGGGATCAGATCCCACTGTGGAAGCTGAGCGGGGCTGGGATCGCACTGCAGCCTGTGACCTCAGCTCCTGGTCTCCATGGACACAGCTCCAAACACACGGGCTCCAGGAGCAGCAAACCGGGAGCGGTGGGACCAGGGAAAACCCGAGAGCAGCCAAGGTCAGTGCCTCAAAATACCAAATTTTGTACAATCCCAGCTTTGTCCTTTTCCCATGGGGACACGGGAATACTCCGACCCTCACACATTCCCCACACCAACCTCCCAAAATTCCAGCATCAGTGCAGCCTGTGCTGGGATTTCATGGATTCATTCTGGTTGTCATCCATCTCCAGGAATTTTGCAATTTTTTTTCCTTAAGAATTGACATGAGTTGTATTAGGAAATGGGAATTTTTAATTACAAATATTCACCAAAACTATCGGACCTGTCAGCTCTAAATCCTGAATTCCAGCATTTTACACTGGAATAAATAGTTCAGAAATTCAGCCAATCCTGAAATTAATGCTTAAAAAGTGTTTTAAAACCTGAATCTCATTAAATTAATGCTGATAATTTTTTTTTTTTAAAAGAGAATGTCCTGAAATTGGGATGTGAGATACTGGTTTTAGACAGGAGATACTGGTTTGGGATGCAGCTGCCTCTTCAAACACTGGAATCAGCGAGGGAGGAAAGGGGCAGACTTGCACTTCTTCCTCCAAACCGCAGGAATATCCCAACATTCCATGAGAGAAAAGAGAAATCTTTAAAAACGTGCGTTTTTGGTTTTCTCCTGAGGCAATTCAGGATGGGAAATGCAAATCCAGGTACAGCAACTGCGCTTCCACCCCAAACAGTTTTGGGTTAAACATCTGAGCAGCTGGAAGAACCAGCTGGAAACACAAGGACAGGACTGCGGCAAAAATGTTCACTCTGAGCTGGCTTTTCCTTCTGTTTCAGTTTTTCACATCTTGACCGGGATATGGCATCCAAAACAACGAAAAGCAAGGATGGAGAGGCACCGGAAGAAACGAGTGACACGGAAGACCCTGTGCGGGAGAGGCAGCTGTACCTGCAGGAGGAGTGCAGGATCCTCACACTACACCTGGACACGTACCTGGGGAGAGCGGAGCAGCTCCTGCACGGAAGCAAACGCCTGGAAAAGGAAGCCCAGGGCACTCAGGAGCAGAGCCAGTCCTACCTGTCCTGCGGAGCAAAGCTCAGCCAGGACCCCCCGGATATGGTCATCACCCTCAACGACCAGAACTGCCAGGATCTGGCCCGAATCCAGGAGCAGAAGGAGGAGCTGATCCCACGGTATGCTGGCAAGGAGCGGGAGGTGAGGAGTGCCCTGAAGGACACGGAGGCCGAGGCCTCGCTCCTGGACACGGAGCTGGAGGAGCTGGAGCCGTACAAGGAGCAGAAGGTGCAGGCGGAGCAGAAGGTGAAGGCGCTGGAGAAGGAACTGCGGGTCACCAGGATACGCTGCGCTGAGGAAACCCACGCCGTCAGGAGCAAGTTCCTGCAGGAAAAGGCTGACTGTGAGCAGCAATTCCAGCAGAGGATGCAGGAGCTCACCTGGGGAGCGCAGGAGGTGGCGTTCAAGGCTCTGATCCAGCACGTGGAACAGGTGAAAGCAGAGAACAGGCTCCTGCGCCAGGAGCTGCTCGGCCTCCTCCAGCACTGCCAGCTCCTCCGAGACGCCAAAATCCAGCTGCAGGATCAGCAGGAGCAGCTGCTCCGGGAGAAGCGGTGCGCCCAGCGGGCAGCACTGCTCACACCAGCACCGGCCCCACGGTGCCGCGGGGACAACCCGCTGTGGCCACCCGTCAGCACGGGCCACTGAGCCCACAGCACCGCTCTGGCACCTGCAGGAGCTAAACACGGAAACAAACAAATCCTTTTGGCAGTGGAAGCACACAGGCCTTTGAGCTCTGCTCACAAGGATGCATAAAATGCATTTATGGATAGATCCATATTCTCCTTCTGTCCCAGAGCAGCTGGGGCTGCCTTGTCCCTGGAAGGGTTTGAGGCCAGGGTTGGACGGGGTTTGGAGCAGCCTGGTCTAGTGGAAGGTGTCTCTGCCCGTGGCAGTGGGGTGACACAGGGTGGGTCCCTCCAACCCAAACCATTCCCGAATTCCATCAAATGATGGCTCTCAGCGCACGTGGCTCCTGCGAGAGGCGTGTGCCAGCAGCAGCAGCAGCAGGAGCAGCAGGAGGAGAGCAGCAGCAGCAGCACAGCAGCAGCAGCAGCAGAGCAGCAGCAGCAGCAGCAGCAGCAGCAGCAGCAGCAGCAGCAGAGCAGCAGCAGCAGCAGCAGCACAGCAGGAGCAGCAGCAGCAGACGAGGCGCAGCAGCAGCGGCAACACAGCC